CAATAGTTCGATTGAGTTATTTCTTAGTCTGGACATCGGAAGTTAATAGCGAAAGTGTTCACGGTGATTAGTTAAGTGAGGTATGCATTTGAAAATACTACGAAGCAGTCGACGACAATAAAAGAACACCTTCACTTTGTATCCCGAACCTAACATATCTAAAAAATAAAATTGCTCAAATTTCTGAAGGCTCTCTCCTTAATCAGATAATTGGTCGATCTATCCTAAATAAAAGACGATTCAATTGAGTCAAATGTGGGCTGTGAATTAGTTAATGGGTCGGGAAACCTATTTATATTATTGCCACTTATTTTGAGTTGTTGCAGAAAAATTTTGTCCATAATTATTGGATATAACGTAAAATGAAGTTTTTCAGAGTTCCGTTTGATTAATGGGGCATAATATCAGGGAAAAAGCGAGTCATAATAAGGTGATCAAAATCAATTATTCCAACTCAAGTGAAATATGTCTAGTATGGATAATTATGGATAGGTAAAAAACTTGTTCACGATAGAAAATTTTTAAATAAATCCAATGATCGTCGTGTAAAGAGGTGATTAAAGAGATATTGATAGCAAAGAGTAAAGAAGTAGAGCCTAGAAAGTAAACTATATATAGATTTGGAAGAATGCTAAGTTACTAATATTTGGGGATTTCATTTCCTAGATGCATCATTCGATTTTTCTGGACTCAATTCTTCACATCTATTACTTATACGTATTGTAAAGGAGACCTGACCTGAGACCGAGTAATGAGATAAAAACCGAAAGAATGTAGTTTAAAGACCGCATATGCTCTAATCGTAGATAACTACAAGGCATTAATATAAATTTAACTCGAATATATTGAACTGATCGGGGCCCGAGCAAAAGAGATGGCAGGGAACTGGGAAACCGATACTGCACTTCGTAATGTAACCAATTAGAAGAGATACCACGATCAAATGCAGGAGGGAAGCAAATGTAGTCCCAAACATGCTGATTAAGGCAAAAGGTCATTGGAGGACTTTGGGCTTCGACACTCTTTGAGAAGAAATCCAGTCGACTTCGCCATGATGGTGGCAAGCGCAAGAAGCGGTACGTGAGAACAGTCATTCCAGGGAATAACTAGTCAGACGAGCTGGCTCGCTAAGAGTAGCTATATAAATAAGGAAAATATGGTTCCCAGAGCCGAGCGTCGTAATTTTCCGCAACAAATAAGAAGAGATAGGACGCTGCCATAGAAGCGGGATGTAGCGCAGAGGTAGAAGATTGAGCGAAGCACAGGAATACGCCGGTGAGTCAAAACATATGAACTTGTTGAGAAATAATTTAGCTAGTTCCTCATAAATGTTTGACAAATGTTGGGATCAGGCTCTGATTGCTGTCAACATTATGTGAGGGGACAAGTCTGGTGGATCGAATGCGAAGCTCAAGTCAAGCTAGCGAGTGTAGTGGGTCGATGGTCAGAGTGCGAGTCAAGGCCCACGGATGGAGAATAATATGTGCATGGACCACGAGCGTTCCATGTGCAAGAGGAAAAAAGCTAGTGGGGAAATGACAACCATGTAAAATAGTACATTCCTAGACAATAGTGATAGAAAGAGGATTCCGAAAGTGCGAAATGGTTCGAAATCGACTAAC